CAGGGTCCCAGAGACCCCTATTTAATAGGCAGCACTCCCAGACACCAGTATTAAATAACCAGTAATAACAGTGAAGCATAAAATAAGCATAAACATACACAATGCTAAAATCTTTTACCCAAAATACACATATATGTATGAAAATCACAGGAGTAGCAAGAGATGAGGTACTTAACTTGTCTGAGGGAGCAGCAAGAAAGAGGAGGAGTCAAGGAGCACCACACCCATATGGATAATACTGGATGCTGATTGGTGCCACTGTTACCAAGCTGTTATGTTTTTTTATATGATTCTCTCATACTTCCTTTTCTTGCTGCTGGGAGTATAATAAAGAAAGAGAATGCATAATAGGAGCCTCCATGTCTTTAATAAAATCACAAATTGCATTTTCAATAGAAATGTCATAATCCTGGTATTTGTTAGTGCACTAAAACCTCAGTATTTTGATTTAACACTGTCTTCTGAATATAACGATACCTACATGTACAATGTTTCCAGGTTTTTAGTATATCACAGGAATAGTACAGTACCCCCAAGTACACTTTGATCTGAAGGCAGAGAGAGGCAGATAGATCTTTGACTCAGATACTGTAGCATTAACCCTGTGATTAGTTTTTTGCTTTTTTTGTGAAGGAACATTTCAAGTACTACAAATGTAGTATTTTGAGTTGTTTGGTGTAGCCACTTTAGAATGGCTAGCATAAACAGGGACAGGCCAAGGTCAGGGGAATCCAGAAGTGAGAGTAGTCGGTAAAACAAGCCAATGGGTCGGTACAGGCAGCTAACGAAGCGTAGTCAGGACAAGCCGAGGTCAGGGAATCCAGGGAAATCAAGCAAACAAACTGCCAAAGTAGCATACAGAGTGATTTAGTAGTTCAGCTCTGTATGGTAGACTTTGAAACAGTCTGTTATGCAGAGGGCAGGTAGGGATGTACAGGAGGGGCAATAATAACTGGAGTCCTTTCGGACTCCTCTTTTCCAGCAAACACAGCATTTTCGTTGGGGTGACCTTTTACAGGGTGTGGGGGGGATTCGGGAAGGGAAATGTTTGCTGAAATGTCGTTGGACATCTTCTGATTCCAAAGGAGGGTTAGGATTTGGGTTCTGGGCAAATATAATTTGAGACAAAATTTGGACCATAAACTCTAGAAATGGGCATGGTCTACCTATGGCTTCCTTTTTATAAAGCACATAGGCATTGAAAATTGCAATCTGGGTTATGTAAATTGCAATTTTCTTGTACCAGGTCCTACTCTTCTAGTCTAATACTATCCTTACCTTTTTGTGTCATTTTACCCCACTCCCTCTAGCATGTAAGCTCATTGAGCAGGGCCCTCAACCTCTCTGTTCCTGTGTGTCCAACTTGTCTGGTTACAACTACATGTCTGTTCGTCCACCCATTGTAAAGCGCAGCGGAATTTGACAGCGCTATATAAATAACATAATAATAATAATAATACATGAAGATTGAAAGGTATGATTGTTTTAGTGTTTTCTGTCGATAAGATTCTGTAGGCCCATCATAATTGTCAGCACCAGGTCTTAATGCGCTCTTAATCCAGCCCTGCACATAGATACTGATAGACATTGAAACACAAACACACACAGAGATACTGATAGCCACTGCCAGACAAATACACATAGGTATTGATAAACACTGCCAGTAGGGTTGCTTGGAAAAACATACCAGCCATGCCAATTTGCATAATTAATCATATATGCATGACATCACAGGATATGGCACAAGATTTAAACAAATACGCTTGGAAAAGAGAAAATGCTGTAAGTCACTACAAAAAAAAAATATATATATATACATATATACTTAAGACCTTGGTTCTGCTGTAAAGAGGGATTGCTCTGCAGTTTGGGGAAATTGGACTGTTTTCTGAGTGGTCACTCAATGGACCAAGCAGCAGGCTATCTACATCATAGACAATATTTACAGATATACAAGGGGTTAATTTACTAAACACCATATTGTAATGAATTACAATCCAAATTGCAAAGTATAAGTTCAAATAGACAAGCTGTGACTAGGCTGATTGGAGAAAGTTTTTTTTAAATCAAATATTTTCATCTATAATTTAAAATTGTGACGGTAGTCACCAGCAGCTTAACCCCTTAAGGACAGAGGCAATTGTACACATTCTAATGAAAACAAAACCTGGAATTTGCGCTATAAGTCTGTTCAACCATAATTCACCTCTCTCAAATATTCATAATTGAAACATAATTTAATATGAATTAAATCTAAAACTTTTTAGATATTATGAAATATGGGTATTTTTCAAGTTCTGCATAACATTTTAACTGTGAATGTCATAATACTGTTAGCTTTTGCTGCAATAATATACACATTTGTATTCAGTGATGAATCATCAGCTAGAGATTTTGATTGCTCTCAGAAACAGTGGGGGAGTTCTAGCTCTGTGGACCTAGTTATGCTCAGACATCCCCAGTAATATTCTTGTCTCTCCCTACATATTGATTTCACGTTATCCCCATTTTTTTTGTCGTCCTTAGACTGATTTTTTTGTTGTCCTTAGACTCCTTCCCTTAGTTGTCACTCTCCTATTTAGGACTTTTGTAGTCCGTCACTTTCTCTATATTGTTTTTATCATTTTTATATATTTAAAGATATATATATATATATAATTTAATTCTAACTGTATTTTGACAGATATATGTATATATATATATATTAATATCAAAATACAGTAAGGGTGGAATTATATATGTATATATATATATATGATAGATATAATTTTTTTTAATTATTACTGTATTTTGGTTTTTTTTAAATGTATTAATTCTTTTTATTTTATATAAATATATACAATATATATATAATTATTGTGTGTGTATATATATATATATATATATAATTTCATATTTTTATCTTAATATATTTATATAAAAATACACTAAGTATGAAATAAATATATATATGTGTGTATATATATATATATATATATATATATATATATATTATATATGTATATAATATATGTATATTTGTGTTCGGGGCCATTTCAGTAGTGTATGAAATAGCAATTAAGTACACTTACCATAATAAATAAAAGTTGGTTGAGGTGTGCCAAAACCGACGTGTGTGGTAGGCCTGTAAATAAGTGGGCAACAGTAATACCAATCTGGTGATATCAAAGATATTTATTTCGAAAACACGACATGGGACTGTCATATTATGATGACATCTTAACAAATGCTTTTCTTAATTCATTTATAGGCTGAGGTATATAGACCGCATAAGCGGATGACTTCCAGCGGCCCAAGATTTTTATAACATGGACCGTGATGAATGAATGTCCAGAATATTTGGTGGCGTTTAAGCTTAGTCGTGTCAAAAGTAAACGTATGTACACCGTAAATTTAGAGGTGGTAAGGACGGCCCCGTGTAGTGAAAGGAGAGGGAGTGAGGCATGCGTAGGTGTTGATATAAGATATGTGTCAAAAACTTTCACTGGGCATCACAACTTGTTTGTGGAATAGTAAGAAATAAGCACCTTGTGACCCATCTGCCTGGTCTTAGTTGAGGGTAGGCTTAGCACGTAATGGTCCTGAAGTTTGTACAGGTTTGAGTAATGTAGGCAATGCTTCGAATCGTGTTGCCCTGTGATCGTGGATTCTCTGGGTCGCTGTAGGAAGCCAAGTATATGGCGGTTTGGAGAATGGTGTTAGTATGTGCTTCAAAAGGAGTGGTATCCAGTAGGCCTGAAATACGTTTGAAGAGATGTATATCTATAGGCTACCTACATTGTGGAGTAGGTCCGTGGGATTTGAGCAGGGGCGGACTGACCACTCGGGCATATCGGTCATGGACCGAGGGCCCGAGGCAGTCAGGGGCCCGGCAGCACAGCCATGCTCCAGCTGGAGAGATCAAAGATCTCTCCAACTGGAACGGCAAAATAATAAAATAAAACTATTTAATTGATAGGTTGTGGGGCCCCTGATGCAGCACGGGGCCCCACAACCTACCGCTCTGCTAGTCACACCTCCCCCCCCCCCATGAGACCTGGCAGCTTCACCTCCTCCCTGCCAGGTCTCCGGCTTCCTCTCCCATGCGGCTCTGTGTGATGGGAGAGGCGGGGCCAGGAAGTGACATCACTTCCTGTTTACTCCTCTCACACAGAGCCCAGCATGGAGAAGGAGCAGCAGCCAGGGAGAGAAGAGGGAGCAGAGATGCAGGTAGGCACCAACCACCCCCTTCCCCCCCCCCTCACTATCACCAGTCACCCCCCTCACTGTCACCAGTCACCCCCCCACTGTCACTAGTCACCCCCCCACTGTCACTAGTCACCCCCCTCACTGTCACTAGTCACCCCCCCTCTCTGTCACTAGTCACCC